ACATTGATTTGTATTATTTAATGATGATATTGAACAAGTTATATTTTTTATTTTACTTTTATCACATAAATCATCATTATCCGATGAACAATAACAACGATAACCATGAGGTAAATTTTCACATGTCGCATTTAATAAACATGGTGATGATGAACAAAAATTTTTTATTAATATTTGACATAAACGACCTGAATAATTTGTTGGACAAACACAACGAAAATTATTATTATATATTGTACGTATACAAGTGCCTTGATTTTCACATGGATTATTTTGACATGGATCAATTGGAATTTCACAAAAACGTCCTTCATATCCTGAATAAAAGATAAAAGTATATGTATAAGATTTTATTTAATTATATACAAAAATAAAAACAAATCTATTATTATTGCCGATAGACAAAAAAATAAAAACAGGATATCGCAAAGACTTGATAGAAAAAGAAGAATAAAAAAGAAAAACATACGGTGGGAATAAACCGTGAGATTACGATCTCATCACAGACATGTGCATCTTCTTTGATATACCGCTACTTTAAACCGACGACACGCACACCGCTAACTTTAGGTATGATGCTCTTTTTGTTTTCAATCAAATAAATACGTGTGAGATATTGATCTTTATCTTATACATTTATATAGAATAATTATGGGAAGAAATATTTCCATGTGTTAATAATACGCGTGCCTATTTGTTCCACTTCATTTCAAAAATTCTCAAATATCATCTGAATTATTTGTTTCACTCTCATTTGAACATTCATAGAGTACTTATTGATTTCAAGTATAACAACAAATGTACATATACATCTCTTTTATATATATATATATATATGTGTATTCAATTCAATAGAGAATTGCAAATCACTCATCCGATTGTGTGTGAGAAAAAGAAAAACGTTTGTCAAGTGTAATGAAACCTTAACATATATTATATGTACATTCTATTGTCTACATGTGAATAGGATGACATCCGGATGTGCACATCTTATCGAATAATGAAAATAATTGAAAGAAAGAAAAGTCTTTTTTTACCCTCTGGACATGAACATATAAATTCACCAAGACCATCTATACATAAACCACCATAACGACAGGGTGAACTTGAACATTCATCAATATTTATTTGACAACGATCACCAGAAAATGCTTTTGAACATAAACATGATTCACGTTTATCTTCAGAATTTATTATACATGTACCATTATTTAAACATTTATTTTGACAAAGATTTGATATATGAAAAGAATTAGTAAAAGCTAAAAATTATCAGAGAAGAAAATTTTTTCTTTTGTTAAATTTAAAAATTTAAATACTTACGAAATAAAATTAAAGTGGCTATAAGAACAAACCACATGATAATGATCATTGTCGTTTTTATGTGTTTTATAGACAGCAGACGTTACGGACAAATAAAATGAGCCTAATTTTTAACAAGTTTCAATTTATATATATATATGAATGACGCGTCGATTCTCTCTCTCTCTGTCACTCTCTCGCACCTATTGGTTGACCATATGAAATTAGTGTATTCATTCATTCTTTTTTTCCTTTTCGTCGTCATCGTCGTGTGAAAAAAAAAGACGAAACGAAGAAGTCATGAGTGATCATTTGAACGATGAAGAATGATCGAAAATGGAATGTCCATAAAAATAGATTCAACCGTATCGATTACTCAATTGTTATAAGACCATTTAGAAAAAGAACCGCCTAAGGGTTTAATTCATTCAATCATCAACTCATCATTATGTTAGCTAAATCGATAACAATGTTGTTTATGTCAATTGATCCATATGACTAACCATAACAAAAGCTATTATATTTTATATCAATTGGTTATGCAGTTCAATAGAGAATTATTTTGACAAAATAAATAAATAAATCTTTTTTATTTTTAACCATGACCATTAAAAATAAGTACCGGAAATTTATTTAGACTAGACAACGAACGTGAAAAATATTTGTTAATCAAATAGGTGATAAAGATCACAGGATATTTTTTTGTTTTTATTGTCAAATAGTTACACATTTTTTTTTGTTAAAAAAGAAAAATAAAATAAACTTTAATGAACTAATTTCATAAATAGAATATTCTTATTGAGTAATATTCATTATGAACGACAAATAATTTCATGTGTTACACATCAAATAAATATTAATGAATGATCCCGATAGCGATGAAAATGAATAATGATTCGACATGGAAAAATATAATAAAATAACAATTATATCATAAAAAATTTATGATAAAACTTAATTTGAAACTATCTGATTTATGATAGAATCATTTTGTTTTTTTTTTTTGTTTATCAATAAGACTAAAAGTTGTTTTCTATTTCGAAAAAAAACTTACAAAATGTACAAAAATTAATTTAATACACTCAATTTGTTTCTTGACTTTGTTTAATCATAATAATCAATATTTCAAAAGTTTCTATAAATTTGAATGATTCAAATTAATTAAAAAAAAAAAAAAAGAAAAGTAACATATGTATATCATACAATATATATATATATATATTTGCATATAGATATTTATAATGAAGAGAATTCATACATAACTAATTGGTTTACCGTCAACATTCATTAATTCAACAATATTTCAAAATATGATATTTCATTTTCTTATTGTATACGATCATTCATGATGAATTCATAAGATAACAAATTACTTTCCCGTAATATATTGTACTTATATGAATACGTGATAATGGACATCAATAATAGGGATTAAAAAGAATAAATCATGGATAAAATGTTAAAAAGTTATTCTTATGAATTTATACTTTAGTCAAATGCAGAACACACTTCAAGGATAGATACATAACAAACACTTAAAAATAAATCGATAAATGAATATACAAAAATTGAAACAAAAAAAAAAGAAATGAAGATAATATGTATATATACATATTTATGTGATTAACTTAAGTTTCAATATAATATAAATGAATTTTTTTTTTTTTCTTTTGATTGACAAATAATTTTGAATTTATTTTAAATTACATATTAATCAACATTTTCAATGATATTTTATATTTTATTTTTTAATTATTTTTGATGATTACAAAATGATTCTTTACTCTCTACAATCCATGTTAAAATAAAACTGATGACTCATTTATTTTGGCCTTGAAATAAAAAGCGGAATTCGTCGAAATAAAAACATCAAGAAAAAGACCCGAACGCTGCATGTGTATTTTTTATGTGAATTGTGCAATGACAAAAAAATAAAGTCAATTGTGTTTTCGTTGTTCTCTTGTCTCACACCGCATACCGACATACGCGCAGACACACACACACACACACACACACACTTGCTGAGTCGCAGGGTAAGATTCTTAAATACACACACAAACATCCAAAAAAAAAAATATTCTGTGTATTTATTTTTATTATATATTAATAAAAAACAAATGACAAATAAATATCCATCAACATTTGTTCAACAATATTCAACAAAAATAGCCTTTCTTATTGATTGTGCCAATGGTTTAAATAGTTTTGCATTATATCCACGATTTATGGATAATTTTCCATCGAATAGTGATGTATTTTTATTTTATTCAAATAATGAACCCGGTATGATTCGTCGTTTAAAACGTATTGAAGCAAGTAATCATGGTGTTTTCTTTTTTCCAACATCAGAATTTGGTATTGATTTTAATATATCATATATACTTGGTCAAATTAATAAATTATATACTGATTTTATTCTTATTGTTGAACATCATCCAGCATATGAAGATATATGTCAACAATTAATTAATAATAATGATGAATTACGAGATCATATTCAAGTACGATCATTTGAACGTACAAATGAATTTGAACAATTTATAAAAGAAATAACACGATTTCAAAATGAAAATGAAAATAAAAGAACTAATGAAAATCATAAAGTTGTTATTAATTTTTCAAAAAAACATCTTTTTCATCCATGTCCATTCGAAACAAGATTAGAATCATCAGTTTTATATCGTTTTGGAGAATTTCTTCATCATCTTGATACTCAACATCCTAATGTTTATTATGAATATTGTACAGAATGTCAACACACAATAGAAAATCATGATGTAGCAGAACAAGTTACATTCGAAGAACATATTAGAGATAAACATTGGGCAAGTAATGGTTTTCATCTAACTATTCGACCAATATAATATGAATGACAGTTATTATTATTATTTTTTTTTCTTTTTCTTTTCATATGTTTTAATTCAAGCTTTTTGGAAAATTATTTTTATTAGTGAAAAGTTTAGAAATCAATAATATTAATATTCGATTTGAATTCAAAAATAAAAATTCAACATTTGTTTTATATCGTTTAGATTTATAACAAAAATGTCAACAGTACGATTTTTTATCAGTAAAAACAAATCATAGTAATTGAAATAAGTTAATTAAATCAAACATTTCACATTTAGAAAGAAAAACAAACCATATCTGATTTTAATTAGGAATGTTTTGAAAATATATATGTTTCACAAATTAGTAGAAGAGAACATATCAAACATCAGATATTTTACAATAATATAAAATATTAATCAATGTATAATAAGAATTAGTCAACGATCTATGTACCATGATAATAATAACCGATTAAAAAATGCGAACAATAACTTAAAGAAACGGATGAATAAACTCAAAAAAAAAAAATTAACAATGTAATCACAATTTCTCATCTTTCAGCCACAAAGATACTTGGTTTTACACGGAAATACCTACGTTTTCTGCTCAAAAAATACAAGTAGGTAGACTTGATGAAGTCTATTTAAATCCTTGGCCTATTGTAAATTTTTTCAATCTTAATTGATTATTCAAAAACAAACGTCTTCTTTGAAATTTATAATTCATATACATTTCAGAAAAAAAATGAATTCTAGAATATATCTAATAGAATCTTCAAATTCTATCAATAAAAAAAAAATCTTTATTTAAAAAAAAAAAAAATTTTTTTTTGCTTTCATTATATAAAAATATAAATAAATACAACATCATGCAATACTCTCTATTTGAGCTAATGTAGCTTTAGCAGCTAGTTTATGAATACAAGCTTTTTTTCCTTGTATAGCTAAAACAATATAAGACCATAATTGAACTAAACTTAATGCAATTAATGTAAATGGTGTTAAAATCCAATGAAGAATATTTCGAAGAATAAAAATATCTTCTTTTACATTCAATGTCCATCGACACCAAATAGCATCTAAAATAAATAAAGCACCATAAAGTAATTGAGGTATAATAACAGCAATTAATAGATGTAAATGATAAGGTTGAAATGGTTTTGGTAACCAAAATAATTCGAAATTTGGACAAAGTAATGGAAAAAATCCCGATGATACATTAAAAAGACTTGCACTACAAAGTATAACACCATAATAAAGAAAATAACCAATAGCAAAAATACATGAAGCTAATATTGGTAAATTTGGAATTTTAACAACAAAATAATGAAAATTATCCGCTGTACCTAAAAGAAAAATTAAATATAAAAAAACTGTTAACATAGTCCTTGCGAGATTAAAATATGAAACACAATACAGCTACTCTTGCTAATCTCAGGAAAATTATTGTATTCTAGATATTTTGGGATACATTTCTTTTTCAGCATTCTTTTACTTCATCCTTCAGAAATGTAAGGAGATAGTAATGAGACATTACGATGAATGCCTCTAGTGAGTGGAGCATATCAGGTTCAAGAATTTTTGAATCTAGGCCCAGATCCGACCGATTGAAATTTGTTGGACTTGGACCCAATGGATTCTACTGGTGAACAATTTCTAACGTGTCTGCCGAACCCAGATCATGTTTCGTGAAAAAAAAAAGAAAACAAAAATATTCATACCAATGCCCCATCTGCGTACTTGAATATACCATTCTTTAACATCATTCAACCATGAATGACCAGATGTTGGTCCAGATCGAACAGGAACAGGTAAAAGACGTATACGTATACGTCTTTGTGTACCAATCATTACTGTTAATAAATAACCAACATCATCCATAAATATTTGTGGATGCCAATAACCTCCACGTACAGCAAGTGTTAATGAAAATGAAAAACATGACATTGGATTAACATTATATGGAATAAGTAAACCCATTGTCATTAAAGAACGAACAAGACCTGTTATACGAACTGGAAATGAATTTTGATCTAAATTCCAATTATAAAAAAGTGGTGCTTGCCATATTGTACGATGTACACTAGGATCATTTGTTTTAACACACCTTAAATAATCAGCTGATAAAGCTTCAAAGTATTTCGGATGAAATAATGTATCAGCATCACATGTTGTTACCATAACATGTTGAATATTTTTTTTTCTTTCTTCATCTTCCATTATATAACCTATAGCTGCTCTTACACCCCAATTAGCATTAGCTGCTTTTGATGCTATTTCATTTTCAAGACCAAATGGATGAACAGGAAAAATTATAGAAAAAAATTTATCAGAATAACGTTGACGTATAGTTTCAGTACGTTCTTCTCGATCTGGTGTTCGAGATTCCCATGCTATAACTAATACAATACGTTTAGATTCAGTTTGTTCAGCAAGTGAATCAACTGTACGACAAATAACACCCATTTCATCATTATATATTGTTAATATAAGTAAATGAACTAATGGTACATCAGCTGGATAAGTTTGTTTATGATCAGTTAACATTCCATATTTTAATTTAATTAATGCATATATAGAAAATATTAATGCTAGAAACCAAACGAGATCTAACCAAATTAATATTGATAACATAGTATAATATGTAGCTTGACATGATTGAGATGCAAAACGAAGCCAAATAGGTAATGTAAAAAAGGCTAATATAACAAATAACCAAAGAAGATTCCAACGTAATAAAGAAAAATTTAATGGTTTAAGTCGTTTAAAATTTTTAACATGTCGAAGAACTATGGAACTTGATAAATCACGATCATCAGATGGTAATGATTCAGTTAAGGACGAAGAACGTGGTTTTTCTTCACAACTCATTTTTAATTCAAATGTTCTTATCAAGTCATCACCTTAGTTAAATAGTATAATATCAATATGTGTAACTTGTTATTTTGTCACATCACTATGCTTTATCATCATGATGAAGATGTAAGATATAAACTAAGAAAATATGTAGAACATATTTAAGTGCTTTTGCAATCTTTTTTGTTTTCTTTTTTAATATTTTCATTGATATGTTTTGATAAAATTGAGATCTAATGAAAAGAATTTATGTTTCTTTTAAATAGTTGACATAGCCATTTCGTTACCGTAGTATACAAAAAAAAGCTACATCTGTTTTTAATTATTTTTTTTATAGTATAATTCATTGGAATTTGTATATAATCTCTTGAAAGCAATCCAAAAAGAGTATTCGAGAAAATTTTCATAGTATCTGCGTCACAAGCACTGCCTTCATATCTTTCATTTTCTTCTTGTCTTTCTCCGAATATGATATCTCTCATAACAAGGTTAAATATAATTTACACCTCATAAGCCACATGCAAAAATAGATGAGTTACTTTTTACATGTCCCTATCAGTGATGAACTGAGGATTTTTAGAAAAGGTGAGATCGATCGCTTCATCGTTCACCTCTCAATTCGTCACTGGTTCCCATCTCTAAAAATAGCTAATATAAGGATTCATTGAGTTTTAATGTAGAAAAAAAAAATTATGTAACGAAAGGAATAGTATGAAAAGGACAATTCTTTTGAAAACAAAATGTTGCGCTTATAAAAAGATAAGATCATTATCTGTTATCACTCGATACTACATCATTCTTTGACTTGACTGATTTTATCTAGATAGTAATATGGTTGTTTTCATCGCATGTTCTTTGAAAAAGATATTAGGCTTATTTGTTCTGTATTTGCTAATGTTTCTATGTCAATTATCAATTTATTTTTAGATTTAGATCTCACAAAATTTTAGTTATAATAAATTATCGAAATAGTAATAGCATTTTGTTTTTGTATTTAGTAAACTTTGAGATAAGCAAATAAATTCAACGTTCATATCATCGTTTTGATATTTCATAATATTGTTTTGTTTTAAAGAAATTGCATTTTTCCAATACTTAGACTTTATATTAATCAAAGTATCTCCTTCGACTTATGTGAATAATTATAATCAACAAAAATTCATTTTACATCATATTCTAGCATTTAGTTAGTCTGACAAATATTATTTCAATACGTAAATAAAAACAAAAAGAAATAACTTCAGAAAAAAGAAAACAATAATGTATAAGGCATTATAGTGATATGTTAAAGATGCAAATATAATTAATTAGTAAAAACTAATTTCCATTTCGTAGATGATAGAATATATATAATTTAGCCAATAATATCTGATTTAGCATAATGATTCATGACATGTATGTGCTAATTCTTAACACGAAAAACAAAAAAAAAAATAAATTATTTGATAAATTTAAAGTTTTATATCTACCATGTCGAAATTTATCAAGTTGTGATGATAGATGTGTATTACGTGAAAATGACAATTGAACATTAAGTTGAGTATTTTCTACCTATTTAAGAATAAAAACAGAAAAAAAAAGTAATTATTTTTATTTTATTTTTTTTAAATTTACTTCTAAGGCATCAAAAGCTGAATGAAGTCGTTTAACATCTGTTTGTAATTGACCAAGAATTTTCGATTGATATTTTCTATTTAATAATTCTTGTTCAAGTTCAATAATTCTTGTTTGTAATAATTCACAACGATTACATTCACGTTCATATTTTATCTAAAAAAAAAAAAAAATAAGACAAAAATTCTTTTCAGATTGTCATACGAATTAATATGAATTTGATTTACCTTCCATTGAGATTCTTGTTCTTCAACTTGTTTTAAACGTTGTTCGAGTTCATCAATTCTTGTTTGTTTACTATGTAGTACTTGAATAAGTTCACTTGTGACAAGATTTTGATCATCACTTATTATCAGTTTCTTTTTTAATGATACATCATTATTATCACGTGTTGGAATCATTTCTTTTTGTGAATTATTAATATCAGTTGTTGTAAGATGATTATCATCTATGACAGCATCAATTTGTGTACGAAGAACATCAACCTAAATATTCAAAACATCTTTTTCTTTGTAGTTTAAACTGGAGAAATGTTGTTCTTTTTTTTTTTTTTTAAATACTTTTCGTCTCATTCGTCGATAACGAAAACTAGCATTTTGATCTGGGACGGGAAGTCGTCCATTAGCAGATTTACTTCGTGGTTGAACTTGTTTTTCTTTTGAATATTCTTGTGATAATTCACTGAGTTTTCGTCGTAGGCGAATAACAGACGACTCGTTCTCCATTAATACATTATGAAGAAAAAATAACTAAGCACTATATAACGCTGGCTAGACCCAAACCACTCAGCCGGAAGAAAATAGTGATTCTATTGGACAATATATTCAGCAATAGATATCGTACTATTTGTGAATCATCAGTAAAGAGGAACATAAAAGAAATAGATTTTGGAAATGGCCGTCTTAGTGATGATAATATTAAATATATTTGATACGTAAATTGTTTCTCTAATAACTGATAATTAATATTCTTGCTTAATTATGTTGACTTTTGTTATCAAGAAATACAGTACAAAAATAAGAACGATTTAAGTATCAATATACAATAAAGAACAACACTTTCGGATGATTTTGTTTTTAAATATAACTTTTTCATAAAGTTGACTTTTCAGATGCAGTTTCTGTTAATGGTAGAGTCAATGTTCATATTAGTTCCTTTGGAATTTTTCAAAAGAACTGAAACCATATAAATAGAAGGAATAAAACATTAACTATATTTTGATAACTAAAGCTTTCTAAAAGCAAAATGTTCATGAAGTGACATGTTTATTTTATGACGGACAATTGACAGTGTTTATGGAAATTTTATCGTTTCCAGATAGCTGAGTAATTTTTTTTTCAAAAATTACATTCAAAAGAGCGTCTGACACTGAAAATATTTCAGAAAATGGTCTCTCAAAACCGAAAAAAGTTTTAAGGAAACTTTAAATTATCTTCTAATTACATTATGCAGCGTCAGATGCTTTTCGAATATGATATTTGGAAAGAAAAATTACGCAATATATAAAAGTGATAAAAGTCGCATCGGCATTATGGATTGTCTATCATATAGTTAACCAATTCACTTCATAGATATTTTACTTTTAGAAAGTTTTAGTTATTAAAATGTACCTCATAAATTGATCCTTCTATTTATATGGTTTCAGTTCTTTTGAACAATTGTAAAAAATATTCAATTTAAAAGATCGTCCAAAAACTTTTTTTGTCGAAGAAAAATTAACTAATTCAGATTGTTATATATCGAGTTCCACTATGACTTGACATTATGAGATGAAATTTTCTTTGAATATGGTATGAACACTGAGTGTAATTTTGATTGAAACAGAATCTCAAAAATCAACTTTATGAGAAAGTGATACTTAAAACAAAATTGTCTAGTATTGTATATAAAATGAAATTGAAGAATTATAGAAATTCTTTTTTAAATGAATATTCTGTTGAAACATAGTTTGTTTTGAATATCATAAAAAGTTGACCGATGATTTCACCTGTCAATGTATTGCTTAATTCGACTTCATACAATCTCAACATAAGTATCACATCTAATGAACATTTTTGAGTGAAATTATGTATAGCTGGATTGTCTTGCATACCATATAAATCGTGTGTTTCGAAGATGATGATCAAGAAACAATCAACTTTGAAATGGAAGCATGTTAATTGATGTTCGAAATAAAACATAAATTGACATGAACAATAAAAAGATGAACGAAAATTGTAATGATGCAAAAAAGTGATATTGTTTATTATATTGATTGATAATATACAGTCGGCCCAAGTTTCATCTGTCCCACCTAGAAAAGTTAGCATAAAAACTGAAAAATTGTCACAGATATAAAAGTTAAAATAAACTTCACATGAAACAAATGTGAATATTTACAAGAATAAGATTTTTTGATAAGACATTCTATTATTATATTTTACGTAATGTATGTTTCCTCTAATGCTTCCAGAAGAGAAATTTTCTTGAATATGCACATTATTAATTGGGTTATCGGATAGTGTCAAAGAAGTCATTCGAATCTAGTATTCTAGATATAATATATCCCGCTTATAAAAGACATTCTATACATATTAATTTTCTTAGTATTTTATGCAATAATTTTGTTCGATAAGCAATCACTAAAAACACAATTATTTATCAATATAGAGAATGATTTTGTAGAAAATTTGTATTCGTTAGTCGAAAACTGCAAATGCGATTTTCTAAACTGGTCATGCCCTTTTCATCAAAATAAGTCATTGTGTAAGAAAAAAAAACATGAATTCTTTTAATTAATTGTTGAAAAAGTACATATGTTTCACCTAATTTTAAGAGAAAGACAATTTTCTTCCAAAAAGTATTACCTAATTTAGAAAAATACATAAGACATCATATTCTTTGCCAAAAAATCTTTCATTCATAAGTATTGAGACTAATAGAAATCTTTTAGTACTCAGCGTGTCCACATGGTAATGCGGTCACCCATTTTTGAATTCCTGATTCTCATAACTCAATAGTCATGCATAATAACAAGCTGAAACTTATACTGCTGAGAGATTATTGGAAGATCTATTTATGTTAAAAATTTGGCTTTATTCGATAATACTATCGCAGTTTTAGAGGTTCAGGAAACTGTGGTAAGGCATTCATTCAAACGGCTCCTTATCATCACACCTACGCAAAGAAGTTTATATTTCTACGAATTTTTGTGCGTTAAAGAAAATATTTTGATATGAACTCATAGCTAAGATGATGAATGTGATAACCACAAGATCTGCTTTTCGAAAGTTTATTTGCATAAGAAGTTATTACTAAAGTCCTTCGGTAACGCATTCGGCAGGATTTTTTTAAAATTTTTTAAGTTTCAAAGTTAATGAACCAAACCTTTGGTTAAACGATTCTTCAACAACTCGGTATGAAAAATATAATGAAACTAGCTTATTTATTTAAAAAAGACACATTTTTCGTCATAAATATATGACGAAAACGCTTTCATACAAAAATCTATTCTTAATCTAAATGATATTCAAAAATTTACTGTACAACAACGTGTCGATTGACTATATGGGCGACATTCAATGACATCCTTACGTACAGCAGTTACATGATGTAATCTTTGTGTATCTCAAACAGATCTTGTATCATTGAATACTCATTGCAATTTTTGTTCTGATGCATCAATTGCTGCTTGTTTTATTTCATGGAAAATGGCGATATTGGTTTTGCTTCTGGTAAGAATTACGAAATCAACTACTGTTTTACATTGCTCTTTTAGTCATAGTTTCTTTTCGAACAATCCGTTTTACAATACTATCAATGGCATTGGATGTATTTGAGAGTTACAGAAAAATTAACTCTTGAGCAAAGAAGAGATAAGAAAAATGACGATTGTGTATGGTAATGGAAAAAGCAAATACATTCGGTGGAAGGATAGAAAAGAAAACGATATCTGAATGAAGAAACTCGTATAGTAATGTGTAAATAAAAAGAAAACCTGAATTTTTGGTTCTATTTTACAAATAATCTGAAGGGAACATATAATCTGTATCGAAAGAGTGATTAAGTATAGATGTTAGTGTTACAGCATAGCACAATAAACTACTAAGCATTATACTAAGATTAGGAACATAATGTTTGATCTTATAGTTGTAGACAAAGTCGTGTAGCCTGCTGCTTTATTATAAATAGCAAATAATATGTCGATAAAAAAATCTTCATCATGGCAGTTATTTGAAAATTCATGAATAATCCAAAATTAGATGTGTCACACATTGTAGATGAGTCAAACATCGAATAATTCATAATTTATTTTTTTAAGAAATCCATGTATTTACTATGTTGGAAGTTATTTTTGCTTATAGTTGACGAAAGATTCTAATAATACTGCTTAAAAAATATAAAAATAAACAAGTCTTTGTAATTTTATTTTATTAAATGTTCAAGATAGTTGGTATGAATATTGATACAAAGTCCGATTCTTTTTAACAATATATTAAAACTTGTTTGAACTCTGTTTTCTGAAATATTTTTAACTATCTTGGAAAGCGCATAAGCAAATCAAGGTTCATTTATTTAATCACTAAAACTGCGTTAGATATAATTATTTAGTCAAAGATCATGCATTATCAAATCTGTCGAACACGACGGATGTAACATTCATTATGTTGATGATTTCTGCTGTGAAATAATTAATAGCATTGGATAAGTATGAAACTATCGATGAATGTTAAGAAAATTTGTAATGCTTACATTTGATATCTCTGTTTGTTTCTATATATCATTAACAAAACGCTTCAAACAATATTCTATATAATAGCTGTTATCTTTAGTCATACCACTATCAGCATTATACATAAGAACAGGACTATTTGATTTAAAGAATTTACAAAACAAAATTTTCGGTTCAAAGCTACTCGAATAAACAATAGTCGTTAGTAAGTCTTCTTGACTAATCCAGCTACCATAAGTTAACTTTCTGTTAACTTGTCTATAATCAATCTATATCTGATGACGTGTAATAATATTGCATCGTCGCCATAATCTGTCATGAAATGCCCGCTAAATTTTCACGACAAGTTTTAACTCGTTTCTGTTACTATTCATCATTCAGTTGATGAGTCTTCTAATATGATGTAACTTCTCTCATTTTTTAACAATCATAAATACTTCGTTCTATTGCATTATGAGAGAAAAATCTCAGCTATAATATAATCGATTCCATGACAGATGCTCCCGCGACAGTTGTTCCTGAAACACTTGCTCTCCAGCGACAGTTGCTCCCCGGACAGTTGCTCCCTACCAACAGTTGCTCCCGCGACACCTGCTTCCCGGCGACAGTTGCTCTCCGGATACTTGCTTCCGCGACACCTACTCCCACAATTATAGTTACTCCCCGTACACCTGCTTTCACGACACGAGTGTGGGTGTGAGTGGGCAAAGAAGTGACAGACATTCACAGCCATCGCATCTTTCACACCCACATCTACAGTCACACTCTCGCCCACATTCACATTCACACCCATATTTGCATCTATCCACACTCACACTTGCGCCCACATCTACCCACATTCACACTTGCACCCGTATCCACACCAGCCCACAGTCACACTCGTACCCACACCCACACTCACATCCATAACCCTGTTGCGGGAGCAAGTGTCCGGGGAACAACTGTTTTGGGAGTAAATGTCGTAGGAGCATCTGTTTGGGAGCAACAGTCGTGTTACCAATATAATCATAAGTTGAATGTGAATTATTGGTGATAACTTGCTGTATCAGTTCAATATTTATATCGGTAAACTCGAAAACCGAACAACTAAATCGATATTTATCATCAACATCCTCTCGTACTACATGAGAACAATTTTCTCGCTTTACAACTGTTCAATATAATGGAGTATCAGACCTTTGTGCTGTTGTAAGTTCATAGTGAATTGTCTTTGAATCGATCTCCAAAGTAATTAAAATTTTAATACAGTATAAAGTGAATTCATTACTCATTTTAGAAAAAACTATTTTTTGCGTTGTTGTAACTGAAATTTATCAGAAAGAATATTAGAAAAAATCAAAATAGAATTATCATATACACAAGTCGAACACGGACACTCGTAAACGACTATAAGTCTTCGTATATATTAGTGTATTACATAATTCAGTATCTCTTCGCATATGGTGAAATACGGAGTTTATGCGCTCTTTTGCAAGTATGTGAAAATTTCGCATTCTTCGTCCTGAGTGTACTGTTATAGATAAGACATTCTACTATTCATTCACATAACAGACTGTTTATCTGAATTGGTTTATAAAATTATCAGTGAAGTTATGAGGAAATTTTTTTCAATCTCAAGTAATGACTTAACGAGTTTTGAAGCATATTTTTAGCTACGTCCAAGACTGAGAAGTATTTGGGTACATTTAAATGTATACATAACCATAGAAAATGGTATCTGATACAGGTCTGATTCAGAATTAGAGCAGTTTAATAGGCATAATGTATGATCTAAAACCTAATGTCTCTAATTTTAGTAGATAAGCAATGTTCAATTGTATCGGAATAGCGTGATTTGTATGCAATCATGATGGCTAACAAAAAACATCATAAATAAAAACCAGATAGCATTCACATTGTGTGATCGTTGAATTATATAATTAATTCTTCGATAACTTTATTGCCATATCTAGACCATATGATTAATTTAAATACGTAAACAAATAATATAATTTGCTTTTTTGCTACTGTTTGATTTATGAGAGCATTATTTTACCTATAATATATTTGTAAAAACCCATAAATTGGCTATGTAAATTCATTGATTTTTTCAGTGATCGATTTTAATCGTTGCATCAAAATATATCCTACAGATAGTTACTATAATGATGATTGAAAGATAGAAGAATATTGTTAAATGCAAAAAGTGTGCTTGGAATATGAATAGGCTTCTGAGTAATAATTCATTTTTCTATATATCTAATCTATGTTATTGTAAGAAGTAGTCATAGTTAACAACAAATCAGTCAGCCAATCATTTTTGCTTAGAAATAACAATCTAGATTAATGTTATAACATTTATAAATGATATTTTACAATTTAATTGATGAATCTATCATATGACTCATATTTACTTTTAAAATTCTCGTTCAATAATTTGATATTTTGTAATGATAATATTGTAAATATGTATCCTTTCTTTTACGTGAATATATATATATATAATCAAATATTTCAATCATTTTAATTAAAATACTTTTTTGATTTTATATGCAAAAAAGAAAAACGTGAATAATCCAATCAAATAGATAAGTTAAAGAAAAAAAAACATACACACACAAAGGCATACGATTTCCATAATGAAAAAAAAAATCAAATCATCGAATTAAATTCGGAGTTGTATGCAAAAGAGAATACCAGAGAGGAATGTGTACAGATAAATGTCTGTTTAGTTTGTTGAATTAGATAGAGAAAAATTACAAAAAAAAAAATATATATATATATCGAATCACAAAATGACTTGATTAACAAATCTGTTTTTTTTTTCTCAATAAAAAACTTCATATCTGATTGTAATGATACGGAAGTTTATTTTTTTGTCTATATCTAAATCATCTCATTTATAAATTTAACACCCGATACAAACATTGTCCAAAAATAACTTTCTTCATCTGTAAAACGTGATGAATATAAATCTTGTACATATCTATTAATTTAAATAAAATATATAAGAGAAAAACAAAAAATTCTTCTTTTTATTTCAAATAAACTTACTGCATAATTGATAGAAGATTTGGTGGATTAGCTTTAACAATAACATAAATTAATATTGGAATTGTATCATCAGCACCAGCAGCTGAATTTGATGCTAAACGAATTAAATTTTGTATTATACGTATACATCGTTGTACACATCCAACTTTATCACGAGGAGTCTATTCGAAAAATAAAATAATTTAATATTTATTTCTCTATTATTTTTTATGAAAATAATATTATTTACTTTATAGGCATTAATTAAACGAAGTTCAGCTTGAGCTGATGGCCATGGACATTCCCTTTGACATATTTTTTGTATACGTAATTTTTGATGATTAGGATCAAGTTGTTCAGCAAGTGTTCGTATATGACTACTGAAAACTCTATAAACAAAAACAAAAAAAATATTAAGAAATGAAAAATATATATTCATACTGATCACGTTGAACATCAATTTGTCCATTTGGATATAATGCAGCTGTATAAATTTTTGCCATAACCATACGTTCAATTGATGTTTGTGACATAGCAAATTGTTCGGGTGAAGCAGCTATTGAAAAATAAAATATATGAAAAGAATTATTATTATTATTATTATTTTTAATATAAATTTTATTTACTTTTCCAATTAATATCAGATGTTATTTCTCGACAACAATCTTGAAGAAATAATTCTATTAAATGCATTTTTTCTTCAGCACTTGATAAATGTGAAAATTTATCAATTAATTTTTGTAATAAATGCTCTTTACAATCAAGAAATAATTTAACAAGATAATTTATTAGATTTAGTTTACATAAATCTTGATCACTAAAATAAAAAAATTAATATTTTTTTCTATTATTATACTTAAACGAAAAAAATTTCTCGACTGTGTCTAACAAAGTTTAGAAAAGTCTGACGAGTAATCATTTTCAACAAGTCAATCTCTGTCTCATCAAAATCTACTGGATTATAAGTTATCGATCATGCTGATTCTGAATGTGATCATAGGAAATCTCCTGAAGCCATTAAATACTGGTTTTCTAGAAAACTAATCTTTCAGACAAATAAATATTTTACCAAAACTTTTTTAGATCTACTTAGATTATATTCGATATGCTATATAATCTCGATAGATCAAAAAAATTTGAGCGAAAAGATTTGTTTATCTGAATAACCAGCATATGAAAGCTTAAAGAAATTTCTTATGATCATATTCGAAATCAATATGGCTAGTAACTTGTAATCTATTAGTTTTTATTGAGAAAGCGATTGATCAGTTGACAACGTAGTGAGAGAAGACACTCGCTCTCAACCTGTTCGATGGTCAATTCTTGACATTATTACTTTCGAGTGAAAAAAAAAACGCTTTAAATTCTTCTTACATTCATAAAGATCTCTTTTAAAGGTTCTTATGTTCAATATAATTTCATTTTAAGAAACAATACAGTTAGATAAGAAAAGAGTATGAAACAAATAATCAAGTTTAGACTTATTATTAAAGACACCAAAGGAAGATAAACCAAGTATAACTCTTTGATTTTGTAAAGAAATATTTTTTTTTTTGCACACAATATGACTATTGCGCGAATAAATCAGGACTATGTTGGTCTCATCTATAATAAACATTTAATATTTATAATAGTTTCTTCTGAAAAAAAGATTATTATCATTAAATACTTCGCATCAAAAAAAAATTGAACATATTTTTCTCATAAAATCTCAAATATTTGCTAATAAATTCTAAACGTCGATAATATGAACATAAAGAAAAAAACAAATAACTTGCTTACCGTTGTATTCGTACAAGTAATCTATCTTGATGATATGTAATATTAAGAAGATTTTCATTATTTTTAACAAGATAAGCAATATAAACAGATCTTGAACGATAATCATCAATCATTGAACGAATTAATTCTTTACATTCATTTTCATTAAATTGTTGTACACAACGTAATGTTTCATATACTTGTGCTTGTAAATCACGATCTTGTATAGCAATTGCTTCATAAAGTTGAGAACGTAGAAAAAGTATTAAATTATTTGATGATTTACGATTTGATGAACTATTTTGTTGTTGTTGTGATGGTAAATATTGACTAAAATTTATTGGTGAATTAAGATAATTTATTGAATCAGTATCAACTGATGCAAGTACAATACGTAATTTTTTTTTTGCATCAATAAATGCTCGACATGTATCCAAATTTGTTGGATCATAGTAAGGAAGTGTATCAGTAAATGTTTCAACCTAATAAATAATTATAATTATTATTTATATTGAATGATATGGAGGAACAAGGTTTTTTATGGTCTCGATCTAGAGAAAACTATTTCAGAATTTCTTTGTATCATATCTTTAAAAAATTCTTCAATATTCGTTTTTGAATTTATTTTGACGATAAGTAGTATTTTTTTTTGAGTTGTCTCTCTTAAATTATATTCTGATTGATATGATTGATAAGGTAATTCGTTTAAAATCATGGAATATGTAACTATAATCTTTAGTTCTAATTCGGACAATTTTTTTCTTATAGGCTCGGAGATCGAAAAAAAAAGCTGATCTCATAAGTCTCTAATTGGAAAATACAAAAAGGTTTCAAAGAAAGAAGATGAAATAGATTTGAGAGAATTTGTTGAAATTCAGTAGGATCTAGAATCTTGACATAGGATTTTTGTGCTTTAAAAATTATTTAATTCGATTGTTTTCAATCCGAAAAATTGATATTGTCTTTTCTAAAAAGTCTCGGAATAAAAAAACAAAATGAAACAGATATATCAAAATAAATTTTTAGACTAATGAATTTTTCTTCTAATTCAAAAGATCTAAATTTTTTTCATATGAAAGATTATTGTTGTGAAGTCTTCAGAAACAAATTTTTGAAGAAATTATTATCATTAACTGTATTACCGTTAATATCACAGACTTTAGATATCGTTGGACTTTATTTCATTAGTATGATACTTTAAGAAAAATGAAATCTTTATAGTATTCTCAACAATCTAGGGTCTCTAGAAAATCCATAAATAAAAGTTTCGTTTGATTACACAGAATGATCGAGCAACTAGTTCTCTACAAATTTGAGATTTCTCCGAATTCTCCACGACATCTCATTTTCTAGAGAATTAATTGCTCTATTGTCCTACGTAATCAAAATAAACTTGTATTTTGGGAATACTTCGAGGATTTCATTTTCTTCAAATTTCTCTATTCAAATCACTGTTTGGATTTTTTATATCAGTTACCATTACGGGAAAAAAAAATCATCAAAATTAAATCTCTATGATCAATTTTGGGAGATATTGTATAATAATAAATATTCATAGAACAATATGACAATTTAATCGTCATAAAAATAAAAGATAAAAGAAAACCCATTGTATAAATACAATAAAATTTCATGAAGTTTGTTTTTATAGAGAAAAATATCCAACAGATAAACTTTTATCTTTAAAAATCTTTGAAAAAGACTTACTGGAATCGTTTCTGGATGACTTTCATCTGCTGTTGTATTTAGTTTTGATCCATTATCAATATTAGTCGATCCTTTGCTTGAATATCTTGCAAGAATGTCATCGGCTGATATTGTTTCTATTGGTTGTTGTTCAATTTGTGAATGATCATCTTCTGGAATACTACGATCTCGTCGATGTGAACTACTACCACCACCAACAAATCGACGACGTAAAGCAGATATTGCATTTGTTGAACGTTTTTCATTAGATTTATTTGTTGATGACTAAAACAAAAAATTTTTATCAAAAAAAAAAAAAAAACATTAAAATTAAAAGTTTTTCTTTTTTTACTGATTTTATAATTGAAGTCGATGTTCCTATATTTGATGATGGAAGACTTTGTGTTGAAATTAATGTTGATGGTTGTT